GCTGTAAAAAGCCGTAATTTTTGCTCTTTGAAAGAGAGTTTCCTGTTCATATCCAGGCAACAGGAGGTGTCTATATAACTGCCTATCTCTCCTGAATTAAATGTCATTTTTACACAAGGGAACCTTCATTAGTGAATGTCACCCACACCTGTGAGATGTAATATTTATAAAGGTGTCCCCTTTTTGTTGCCTGACTTGTTCATCCTAAATGGTATTTTCATAGGTAAAATGTTAATCCTTTCTGATTCTCATGAGAAAATCAGAAATTGCATTTTACCAGTGAGGAAAAACCCAAAATAATCTGTGCTCTTCTCCTGTGGTTTCATATCAAAAGAAATAAATATCATTCATATATCCCATTTCATTAATAACAACAACGATGATTAATGCTCTGAAGTTGGAATTATTATCCTTATTTTTTTCAGTTTTTTTAAAGTTAATTGGCTGTTTAACCTGGGGAAAAGGAGGCTCAGGGAAGACCATATTGCTCTCTACAACCACCTGAAAGGTCATAGCCAGGTGGGGCTTGGTATTTCCTCTCAGGTGACAAGTGACAGGACAAGAGGGAACAGCTTCAGGTTGTACCACGGGGGGCTTAGGGTAATATTAAGGAAAATTTCTTCACTGAAAGGGTGGCCAAGCACTGGGATGGGCTGTGCAGGCAAGTGGTGGAATTGCTGGCCATGGAAATCTGCAAAAAACACGTGGATGTGGCACTTGGGGACGTGGTTGAGTGGTGAATACAGCAGCAGCCTAAAACCATAGCCAGTTCTGCATCCTCTAAGTGCTTCAGTCCCTAGTTCTGCCATCAAGACTCAAAATTATCCGAGGCTGTGCCACTTGCTAAATATATTTCTTCCACTGCTCTGGAGGAAATATGGGAAAAGTGCTGGTTATGGGATTTTTTTCTTGATCCAGATGTGATAATTTGTTTGATTTTATTGCTTGTTGTGAACTTGCATTTTGAAAACTGTGTTTAAAGAGATGGAAAATGACATGACCACTTTTTTTCTTTCCCCACAACACTCCTGAGCAAGAGGCAGCACTTGAAGACCCACCTGCTCTGAAATGTCCTCCTTCCTCCTGAGAGAAAACTCCAAGAATGAGCCTTTGGGGTGGATCTTGTCCCTGCACAGGACACTGGGGTCAGCTCTGGGGACAACTGGCTGTGAGCAAAGAGCTGCAGGGCCATGGGAGCTGGGGCTGGTGGCAGGAAGGTGGCACAGCAAGGGATGCTCCAGCCTCACAGAATTCACAGAATTCCCAGAATCTCTGGGTTGGAAGAGACCTCCAAGATCATCGAGTCCAACCCACCCCAACACCTCAACCCAGCCCTGGCACCCAGTGCCACATCCAGGCTCTGTTAAACACACCCAGGGATGGTGACTCCACCACCTCCCCGGGCAGCCACTCCAGAACTTTATCACCATTTCTGTGAAAGCTTTTCCCTGCTATCCAACCTGTATTTCCCTTGGGTCAGCTCGAGGCTGTGAGCTCTGGTTCTGTCAGTGCTGCCTGGAGAAAGAGCCCAGCCCCAGCTGGCCACAGCCACCCTTCCTCCCTTTCCTGCCTCGTGTTCCCACTGTTTGCATTCTGCAGGAGCACTGGCTGAATATTTTAGTCACACAAGTAAGGCTGGAAAGGTCAGAAGATTGGGGTTTTTGAGCATGGGGTGACAATGTGGAGCAGTTTTCCATGTGGGAGCCCAGCAGCTCAGCTGTCCTCTGTGTGGTCCCTGGGAGTGCCTGAACTCTGAAGGTGATGCAGAACACGGAGCCATGGGAATTCACCACGAGCTGGACATGACCTCCACTGGCTTTGCTGCAGCTCCTCCATGCAAACACAGCATTTTGGGGCCCTGCCATGGGTACTGTTCCTACAGCCACATCTGGGTGTAGCATGAAGCTGTCAGCACGCTCAGTGTCCCTCTCTCTGCTGTTGTATCTCATTTAACAAGAATTATACATCACACTTCAGAGAATTTGTGGCCATTGTGTTACTGAGAGCTGCTCTGTGCAGTGTACAAAGATTTGGGGTGCAGGATTTTCCCCCCAGCATTCCTGCCCTCCTGTTCCCATCCTGCCAGGCATTTTCTGGACCCAGGAATATTCTTGCTGGGGTCTGTAACCACCACACTCCTCTCGACCAGGAGTTTCTAACCACAGCTCCACTGGGCAAACCTGGTGCCACCAGCACCTTGTAAGGATGAAGCTGCTGCTGGCTGAAGTTTGTTCTGGGGATCAACTGGTTTGGGGCTGTCTCCTGCTGGATTTATGTTCTCTGAAGAGTTAAGTACATTAGTGTGGGTAATCTCACTCCATTACCTTCTATAAAACTGAATCTATGATTTCCTCCCTGGTGAGCATTTACCATAGTGAAATAGGCTACTATTTTCATATTTAACTCATTGGTAACTCATAAACCCAGCTCAAGTTGTCTGCCCCAAAGAGCAGAAGCTGTGGGACAAGCTGGAGGGTCAGAGCTTTTACAGGACCTGCAGTGTCAGGGCAGTGCTCTCAGCATCGCCCTCACATCCCTATCCCATCCCTCCCCCTGCTCCTTTGAAATCCACAAAAATCAGAAATTTATAAGGCTTCTTAAAAATCCGAGATGAAGCAATTAAAACTCCAGACTGGAGGATGTGAACCTTTAAAGGCCCTTTGCAGAATATCAAAAGAATGAGAGGATTATATTTAGCAGGTGTGACAGCCCACGCAGGACATTTCATTGTGAAAGGGGCTGACATGAACCAGGAACCGATACTTAAATTAATATAAAACATCTTGAGGGAAAGGTGTTTTCTTTTCTTTTTTAAGCATTGGGAAATCACAATGCTTTCTGGCTTCTTCAAAAGCGAGAGGTCCAAATATACAGGAGTCATCTGGCATGTAAAAATAAAATGTCTGGGGAGGGGACACACACATAAAAATGCTTTGGATGAGGTTGGGAGGCAAATGTTGAGGGCCAGGGGGCCAAGAAACACCGTTGTGAATTTTCCTGCCTCACCTGGTGCTTGCAGATCCAAGGATTTTCCCTGGCACAGGGCGCCCTGTCTGGTTTTTGGCACTGCATCAGCATGCCCTGTCCTGCCACCTCTCCTGTCCCTTCCCTGGAGACACAACCCTTCATTACAGGGGCACTTTACTCTGAACACTCCTCTTTCTATTCCTATCACACCCTACCAAGCCTTGGAGTGGAAAACTTGACTCGGGAGTTTTGTGGGGAGGCGTCCACCCCACGACTTTCGTGCTTCATTCACTGCTGAGCGTTCCTAATTTTAGCCGAGCTGCTGCGTTTTGATTTTCCAAAGCTGCGGATTTAAGGTCCAGAAGCTCGGGTTGTTTTCACGCCCACTCGCTGAGGGCCACACCAGTGATGCTGCCCATCCACAGCAGGGGAGGCTGTGGGGAAGGTGGGGTGGGTGACAACACTGTCCCCAAGGCTGAGAAGGGACCCCACGGGCTCACCAGATCTCCATAGGTGGGTGCTGCAGTAGCAGAGGGGACTCAGTGCCACTTTTTGGGGTATTTTGTCTCTTCAATCTGCTCACTCAAGCACTAGGTGGTCGCTTGGGAGCTTTTGGGTTCTTAGTCACCCAAAAAAAACACACACTGGGGTGCAAATCCCATCTTTCTGCTGAGGCTGCCCCAAGGGAGGGAGGTGTGTGGTTGCCTGGATGTGAGCTATCAGGTACTCTTTGGCACCGAAAGAGTTAAAGGTCCTCGGCACCCACCAGCCCTGGTCTAGGCAGTGTCTAAAATCAGTCCTAGACCCGCTTTATTTTTTCCTTAAAAACAGGAAATGGAGCCCTGAAGGCTTTTTAACTGGAGAGGGAGAGTGAGGAGGGGGTATACTCGCTCTGCCCATACTCAGCCCTGAGCCTGACCCAGACTTGGGGGTCTCTGTGTGTGATTTTTTTATTCCTTCTCCCTTTTTTTTTTCCCCCCCTCTATTATTTTGGCAGACTTTTTGGAATGTCTGGGAGCTAAGGGCTTTGCTTCATGGAGCAGAATTCTGAAGCAAGAAAAAGAGAAAGTTATAGACTAAACCACAGAAATGTAAACATGTCTGCAGCTAAAATAACTCCACTTTCATTGAAAACACTCCTCGCTTACAATCAGACTTCTGTGTGCTATGCTCAATAAAACTGCATGCTAATAGCAACCAATTAATACATTATGTAGTTCTGCTTTAAAAACTGAGACGCTTTTAATTATTTTTTTTATAATTTTTTTTTTAATTATTATCTTTAATTAAGGGACTACTGGGTTTTCTGCTGCGGACGGCGGTGCCGGGCGCTGACCGCTGGCGGAGCGATGCCCGGCGGCGCGGCGGGGGCTGAGCCGTGCCCGGGGAAGGTCGGGGCGAGGCGGCAGCGGGGACAAGCGGAGCCCCGGTAAGGAGCCCCGGAGGGAGGGACAGGACGGGACGGGGACAAGCGACAGCGACAGCGACAGCGATAGCGACAGGACGGGGCGCACCGCCCGCTTCACCTTCCGTGCGAGGTGAGCGCGGACAGCACCGCCGGGATGGGTCTCTCCATCACCCATGGGAGACGGGGCTGCAGCTTGGGCCGGACCAGCCTCCTCCGCTTCCCTCCCCACCCCCGCTCCCTTTTTATTCCCGAGCATCCCGTTATTCCTCCCGCTGCCCGCGCTGACACCTGGTTTAGGGGCCGGGCTGTGGGATTCCCGTCGGGTCCGCGCCACAACCGCGTGTTTGTTCTCCTCCTTTCCCCGCGCCGGGACACGAGGCTGCCCCGCCGGGCCGGGCCGGGCCGGGCTGGGCCGGGCCCCGCGTCTCCCCCCGCGGCTGCCGCTCACCTCCAGCTCCGCCCGGCCCCTCCGCCCCATCGGGCGCGGCCGCGGGCACCGGGGGCGGGGGTCCCGCGGCGCCCCGGGCGCGGGGCCGGCCCGACGGCGGCGGGAGAGAGGGAGAGGCGCCCGGAGCCGGGGCCCTCAGCGAGATGGGCTGAGCCCGTCCCGACTGAAGTGACTCACCGCAGCCGGCACCGCCGCCGTCCCCTGCCCGCTGCCTCACTCCTCCCGAGCTCCCGCCGCTGGCGGCCGCTGCCTTCCCCCGTCCCGTCCCGTCCCGTCCCGTCCCGCCCCGTCCCCCCTCCCCGGCAGCCCGGACTGACCCCAGCCCCAGCCCGGTAAGTGCTTTGCCTTCGGGGCGGCGAGCGGAGCGCCGGCCGTCGGGGCGGGGATGAGGGACCACCGGGGACAGGGACCGGGAGGGGCTCGGTGAGCCCGAGGGTGACACAGGGACCGGGAGGAGCTCGGTGACACCGAGGGTGACACAGGGACCGGCCGAGTGTCCCCTGGCTGCAGCGGGGCAGCCCCGAGGGCTCCGCAGCCGCAGCCGCGCATCCTCCGCGCGAACCGTGCCCGAGTTCCTCTAAGTTTGGAAGGATTACCGCGGTGTGGGTTTTCGGGCAGAAATGATACCGCGTTCCCCCTCGGCATCATTTTCCCCTCCTCTGCGTCGTAATAGCAGCGTTGGTGCCTTTGTAATTCTTTCAGCAATTCATCATTCAATTAAGTAATAGCTGTATGGCTTTTCGAAAGCAGCTCTTGCGCGTAGGAAAACCTTCAATTAACTACGTGGCTGAAGGGAGGCATGGTTGGGTTTGGTACTTTTCAGAGTAAGGGATACGCGGGGCTCTGTTTTGGTGTCCAGATGACTTCGCTGAGGAGTTTGGAGTGCACGTAATTGTATTTACAAAAGCTGGAGTTGCAAGTTCTGGCTAACATAAACTTCCATTCATTGCTGCCTTTGCAGAGAGCCCGCGGTGCGGGGGAAATAGCTCGTTCTTTAATGAAGTTTTTTTTATTTGTGTTCTAAGTGTCGTCCTGTGAATTAACTCTGAAGTAAGAGTTTGGAAATTACATTCTGCCCCGTTCTGCCCATGTAATTTTGAGTCCATTAGGAAAACCAGGATAGGTCTATGAACTGCACATGGAGAAATGTCACATTCCTTTGGTTTAACCCTTTGAGCACTTCCCTGGTTTCACTGAAGCAAGTGAAGCAGGCAAAGACAGCTTCTCACTGGGGTATGAAATGTAAACTTTTGTCAGGACACATATGTCAGGTGTGTGATTTCAGGCACACCTGAACTGACAGGAAAATCAAAGAAGAGAAATAGATTATTTGATAGTTTCCCAACTAGAAGTAAATAAGTAAAGGCATAAATGGACCAAGGCATACCTCATACGGGACAAATATATTTCTGTGTTGATTGCCTGATCTATTTCTTAAAGGGCATTTATAAAAACAAAGATATGGTACATTGGAATAGCATCATCAGTCCTTATTTTCTCTTTTGTATGCATATGTGGGCAAACAATGGCAAATTCTTTGAAAAAGTTTGCAAAAAAAAAAAAAAAAGTTTGAAAAAAATCTACTCACTCCAAAAACTTTTCAGGGTTTAGAGCTTTGAACAGCATCTGTCCCCACCTCCCACAATTTAGTCCCAAAGTTAAACAAATCATAGAGTACTGGATAGAGTTACATGTTACAGGAATTTTATAAATGATCTGTCAGGGTAAGTCCTAGGTGTGATTAGTCGGACTTTTTGCTCCTGAGGTGTTGCTCCCTTTGGATTGTCATTTCTGTAGCATTTTGTTCTTAGAGATGGATTCTAATAGACATGTATATATTATGCATGTTCTCCTTCTGATGGTTTTGAAGCAGTACTGCCTGTGGGGTTCTCTCTCTCTTTCTTTTAAATGAATTTGAGCTCTTTGTAAGGCACTGAAGAAATCTGGGGGTGTGAATCCAGTGAGGACTCACAATGGTGGCAACCATGAGCTTAAATCCCAGATTGCTGCAGACTTGGGAGCTGTGTCGCTTATCACAAGGATGCTGCTTTGTTTGTCCTTTTCCGTCTGGAGCACCAGTTTGGATCCCGCTGTTGTCGGTGTTCAAATGACAATTGTGCACAAGAGCCTGCCCTGGGAAAGTGTCTTTTCTACCTGCTCTGCTGTGGGAAGTTTATTTTCTGTGCGTGCACAGAGCTGCGTAAACAAACAGAAAACCCTGGGACGACGGTGGCAGTCCTGTTGGTTTGAACAACGCCCCGTGAACAGAATACCTGGCTGCTGATGAGGCAAATCCTTTCCCACTGCTCTCTCTGCAGACCCCCAGTGCTGTGCTGTCACGGCGTGAGGCTCATGGCACTGCTCTGCCTCTGCAGAGTGTTTAATTTTGATGGCTTCGCTGTGATCCCTGAACACGGAGGTTCCTCCTCCCGCGAGGATCAAAAAACACGGGAGAAGCTTTTGCAGTGCTGATGGCATCTAGAAGCCCCAAAACATTACATATTACTTTTCATTTCCTCGCCTCTGCTTTACCAAATGCTCCAGGAGTACAAGCAGGTAATAAGAAAATAATTTTAAAGGGTTGGGTTGAAACAAACCCTTTCCCTTGAATATGCATTGGGGTTTTGTTCCACTATCACGAAGCTTGCCATTTTCTTTTAAGTGAATAGTTTTGGTTTTTTTTTTTTCAGGAAAAGGCAGCTGTAAGGGCAAAACTGTACTTCTTTGAATCATGTGAGCAGCTCTGTGGAAATCTGTGTCCCAAACTCGAGGTGGAAGTTGTTGACAGGGGGTAAGGTTGGAAAGGGCCCTTTGGGCCTGATCCATATCATCTGAGGTCAGCGGGGCAGGCTTAGCCCTGAGTGCCTAAAGCTGCCCGCTGGTTTTCTGTGCAGCTGGGAAGGGATGCCAGGGATTAGTGTAGGCTTTGTATGGCACTTTTCCTATACAGTTGATTTTAAAATGGTTCTGTTTAAAAAAAAAAAAAAAAGTTCACACGGGGTGAATATATTTTCAGCCTGAATTATAATGTTGTTTGTCTTGGGTTGGAAGAATTACCTTTTGTGCGATAACACCACACTGGTTTTCATTATACCCACAACTGGCTGCTCTCACAGCCACTGGAATATTTTTTTACTTCCCAGGGTGGTTCTGGCCATGCCCTTTTTGACACGCAAGTTTCCCAGGAAAATCAAGCATTTTGTCTTTTTGGCTGAAGGTTTGAGTCCAAAATATTTGTATTGATTTGCCATATTGGAAGACAGTGATATCTAATCTAATGTATTTCCTTCACAGTGCAGTTAACTAGTGTAGGTAGAAAACTGGCAGTCTAAAATTACTGTGCTAAATTTAAATGTAAGTAAAAAGCAGGCAATAGGAAAAAAATTAAAGGGTATATCTAAATATGGAGTTGCGGCCATATCTGTTATATTTATACTGCATTTTAACCTCTTCTATTTTTATTCAGTGGTCTGTGTATAATCTGGAAGGGTTAATTGAATTAAAGAAACAGCAATTTCACAATGAATCCCAAAGAGTTTATTCTGCTGTGGACACAGTACACGTCCTCCTTAATCAGTGATTTATCAAAAGTAAAATGTGTGCAGCGAGGCATTTTTGAGTTGTTTGAGAGCAAAAATGAGACTTGATCTAAAGTAAGCATGAATGGATTTGCAACACGCCTGCTTTTCCCGCACTGCTGTGGCAGGAGGATCTCCTGCTGCCTTGGGTGGCAATTTTCCTTGTGTGGAGTGTGAGATTCCACCACAGCAATTATTTTCCCCAACTTACCCGGGCTCAGAAATACTCCTTTTTCATTTAGAAAGCTGCCATGGTAAGTGGATTGTCCTTGCACGCTGCTTGCATCAGCTGCAATCCCTCCTTGGCACAGCTTCATTCCAACAAGAAAAAAACAAACATTATTCCAGGAACAAAATACATAGTTATTTTTGTTTGATAATGCATCACATAAATATTAATCGTCTGCCCAAAGAAAAAACAATAAACACATGTTTTCATTTTAGCTGGAGCTACAACCAGCTTTGAGAGGGGATGGTTGAAAGCTCAGGGCCTTGAGCTGTAACCACACAACTCTGGCTGACCACAGTGGGTTGGGGAGTGGTTGCTGTGCACAGGTGAGGGCTTGGTTTTGTTTGAGGCCTTCTGTGTTGATTCATTTTAATATTTAATACATGATACAACACCCAGGTGCTTATTAAAGGGTCTTGGCAGCAGCGTTGTGTGACAGGCACATTCTTCTCTCTCTCAGGATTTTTTCATAGAGGAGCACAGGGCGAAGAAAGAGAAAACAATTTCTATTTCTGCTCCTTGTTTTTCCCATGTAAAATGTGTTTGGAGAATTTTTTAGCTGGGGTGATTGCTTGATTGGATTCTTGTGAAGACTGTTTGAACCTAATAGCCAATCAAATCCACCTGTGTCTAGACTCTTGAGAGAAAGTCATAAGTTAGTTAGATATAGTAGTTCGAAAAAGTAGGTATGTAGTTTTAGCATCTCCTTTAAATAGTATATTGATGTATTATAGTATAGTTACAATAAAGAAATAATTCAACTTTCTAAACTAAAGTCAAACATCAACATTTCTTCCCACCAAGTTCACCTACATTTACAACAGCGTTGCTTCCAGCCTTCGGAAACATGCCGTGCTCCTGCTTGGGCACTCAGCAGCACCGGTGGGATATTCCACCTCTTCCAGGTGCTTCTCCTGCCAACAAACATTGCCTTCAGTTGTGTTTCAGGCCTCCCGAATTTGCCTGTAGCTGGGAACCCCGCTCACCTAATTAGTGCTGATTGGGGAGAGCGAGGCTGGCTGTGGGGGATGATGAGGCGGCGGCCCCTGCGCGAGGCCGGTGACACGAAAACCACCAGAAATCAAATGTGGTTTCAATTTCAATCAGCTCTGCTCAGACACCCAGGTTCCTCCAGGGGGTCCCCAATGGAACAGCCTTGTTTGCTTTTCCCTTTCACCTCACCAAGGCACGGCGGCGGGGGAAAGCCCCGGCTGAGCTTGCACTGCCGCCGCGGAGGAAAATTTGGGTGCTGGGCTGGACAGGGCAGCACGAAGGTGTTGGGGCTGGGGGGGCTGGAGTTGGGAATGCTGCAGGGACTGGGAATTGGGAATGCTGCAGGGCTGGGAACTGGGAATGCTGCAGGGCTGGGAACTGGGAATGCTGCAGGGCTGGAGTTGGGAATGCTGCAGGGCTGGGAATTGGGAATGCTGCAGGGCTGGAGTTGGGAATGCTGCAGGGCTGGGAATTGGGAATGCTGCAGGGCTGGGAATTGGGAATGCTGCACAGACTGGGAATT